GTTGGGGGATGGGGGAGGTGACAGGGCAGAGAAAGCCCATCAACTACCCCAACTCATCCCTGGCTTGGACAAGGCAGAACTTTATGAAGAAGGGGCCTGAGTTCTATCCCACATTACCCCCTTTTCCTGGAAGGATTCTGTCCCCAAGCCCCAGAGTGAAGGGTATGGGCCACACCATGGTGCACTGGGGCACTCACCATGAAGGGGTTGGTGGAGATGCCCGCTGGTTGGCTCAGTGGCCTCTGTCCAAGCTTAGTTGATCCTAAGTCACCGAAGGAAGATCCTGGGAAGAAAGAGTTAAAACTCAGCAGACGCGAGCCCTGCCCCTCTGTCTACCTCCCTGCAGGGCAGGCACAGCTACCTCCCAGGTGGGCAGTGAGAGGGGGCCTTCCTAAAGACAGGAATGAAGGTATGGAGCAGTCAGAGGACACAGGCAGGCCTGGTGCTTCCCTGATTCCTCCCCTATGGTCCAAAATGGAACCAGCTCACATGTCTGGGTCCCTAATATTCCTGCGGGGAGTGAGGAAGGAGGGTGAGGTCTCAATCCCTTACCATTCTGCTGCTGAGTCATCGGGGTCTGCAGGGAGAACATTGGTGGTGGAAAGGTGCTGGAAAAGGCCCCGGTGGGTGGCACTGTCTGGGGGAAGCCAGACCCAGTGCTGCTCATCCCAAAGCCAGGTCCTGTGGAGTGAGGGACACGAGGCTCAGGCGAAGTTCTGGAACGTAGGGTGGAGAACAGTTCTTCCTAAATCCAAAATTCCTATTTTCTCCAAGATGGGAAAATAGGATGGAGTTTTTCCCTAACCAGAGGTACCTAGTGGAAGTACCCTGAATGAGCCATGGAACTCTTCAACTTCCATGCAGCCCACCAAACCTGCCCACTTCCTGCCCACATGGCTTGTGGCATGGAGAGCATGAGCACCGCACAGAACTGGGGGCAGCTTTAGGCTACCTATTAAACTGCATAAACTAAAGCTAATTAATAGCCCTTTCTGTGCCTCAGTTATCTCATTTCTAAAATGGGGCAGTACCTATCTCCTGGGGCCACTGTGAAAATTACATAACAGATGTAAAGCACTTAGCACTAGGCCTGCCACATGCTGCACCTCTGGAAGCTATTCTTCTTCTCTGGGGTGAAGGGAGAGAGGTGCAGGGAAATTTGTGCTGTACAGAGAGACAGGGCCATGGGACAATCTGGAAGGCTTACCTGTGGCCAACCCATTGGGCTGGAATGGGTTTGTGGAAGGCAGCTGAGGGTGAGCAGCAGGTGCTGTGAAAGGGTTGGTGAAGGCTGCTCAGGATGGGAATGGGCAGAGGTGAGAAAAAAAGATTTTTTTTTAAAATTTGCTTAATATTGTGATAACTGAACATTCCTCAATCTTCTCTCCATTCCACCCACCCCTGCCCAGAGTCCTCAGTTCCCTCTAGGACTTGGATCCCCTCCCCGGGTCTCCACAGGCAAGACTCACCTCCAAATGTAAGCCCTGTGCTGCCACCTCCACCAGTTGTGGCCGACTGGAGCATGGGGACCTGACTGGTCATCCCAAAGATGCTGCAATATGGGGAGAGAGGTTGGCATGCACATCTTCCGGGACCAAGGAGATAAGTTAGGCAAGGGACTGGGACGTGGCAAACCCAGTACTGCTAGACAGGAGCTAAGTAGGCTGGGAAAAGTAAGGCCAGAGTTCCTTGCCCTGCTCTCCTACCCCAAGGCAAACCCCTGATGTGTGTGCCTACCTGCTAGGGATACCTCCAGCTGATGTCCCAGGTCCCAGGAGGCTACCCATATCTGTGAGGCTGTTGGGCTGACTGGCAGGTGCAAGAGGAGAGGCACCAAATGGAGTCACCTGGCTGCTCCCTGGAAAGTCATAGGAAATAAAACGGAATGTTGGGCTGAGACAAGGTGGTAGGGGCAGAAGAGGAGGAGATGGGGTGCAGTGGAGGAGTGGAGTGATCACATGAGAGGCACCACCTGGGTTTTCTGAGCCAGCACAGTCTTCCCACAGATCACCCAGTTCAGGAGGGCTTGTCTCCCATTGAGAATTCCAGGCAATGTGATACTTAGCTTTTCTCAGTCTTCCTAGTGCTCAAAGGTGCCACCACTGAGAGAAAAGCATTTCTTCCTCATGTCAGGTCACCATCCCTCCTGCTCTAGTTTGACTTACACTTTTCATTTTCCCCCTCAAGAGACTGTAATTTCCTCAAAGCAGCATTTCCATTTATGGATAAATCATATGAAGAGCAGGTAGAGGGAGTGGGGGAGGAGCTATGAAAGGCAGAAAGGTTCAGGGACACTTGGGAGACTCATGGAGATGGCACTGGAGGTGATGAGCATAAATCTCCAGCCATCAGCACTCCCATTGGAGTCACCTCTTTTTTGGGGGGCCACCCTGATGCTATGAGCTTAGATCAGGGCTTAGGCACATTGCTCACTGGGCAGAGCCGACTACAGGGTTCTCCTGACTTCCCTGGTGTTCACATCTAAAAAGCAAAAGCAAAGGGCAAGCCCCATGTGGCAGTTTTACAAAATAGTCCACAGAGCAAGAGCCCTGGAAATCCCGAGCAATCTTGTCTCACAGGAAGAGGCCTAAGGCCCCATTATTTTACGAAAGCCTCTTTATCTATGTGTCTTTGTCTCATCTGTCAACCATTCTGGGCTGTTGTGAGGGTAAAACAAGGCTACAAATGGAAAAAAGTTTTATATTTATGAGTGCTGGAAGACTCATTACTGAAGGGAAACACACTGCACAGTGTCTGCAACATGATGGTGCTCAAGAATGAATGAATAGCCCTGGCTGGTTTGGCTCAGTGGTTAGAGCGTTGGCCCATGGACTGAAAGCTCCTGGGTTCAATTCCAGCCAAGGGCACATATGTTGGTTGCAGGCTTGATCCCCGGCCATGGTGGGGGCACATGCGGGAGGCAACCAATTGATGTGCCTCTCACATCGATGTTTCTATCTCTTTCTCCCTCTCCTTTCCCCTCTCTAAAAAAAAAAATAAATAAATAAATAAATAAAAACATTTTTTTAAAAAAAGAATGAACAAATAGCTCTGGTGGGGTAGCTCAGTTGGTAAGAGCATTGTCCCCATATGCCAAGGTTGCGGGTTTGATTCCCAGGTCAGGACACATACAGGAATCAACCAATAAATTCATAGATGGGTGGAGCAACAAATGGATGTCTCTCTCTCAAATCAACTAAAAAAAAAGAATGAGCCCAGCCAGCATGGCTCAGCAGTTGAGCATCAACCTATGATCCAGGTGATCGCAGTTCAACTCCCTGGTCAGGGCACATGCCTGGGTTCCGAGCTTGATCCCCAGTCGGGGGCATGCAGGAGGCAGCTGATCAATGATTCATCATTGATGTTTCTATCTCTCTCTCCCTCTCCCTTCCTCTCTCTGAAATCAATAAATACATATTAAAAAAATAAAAATAAAATAAATAAATGTCAACTTCTTCCACAAAGCCCACAGTGACCATTCTATTAAAAAATTTTTTTGAATAGGTTAAGTGAGAACTGGATTCTACTTGTAGCTCTACCATGTGCTACTGCTGTGGCTATAGCAAACCATTTCATTTTCCATTTCTCACCCTCACAGGGTAGCTGTAAAGACCATCTGAGATAAGTGTTTTATTTGTTTGTTGCTGTTTTTTTAATCCTCACCCGAGGATATTTTTTCCATTGCTTAGGGGGAGTGGAAGGGATAAAGACAGAGAAACATCGATGTGAGAGAGGCACATCTATTGGTTGACTCCTGCACATGGGGATTGAGCCTGTAATCGAGGTACGTGCCCTTGGCTAAAATCGAACTCAAGACCCTTCGGTCCACCAGCAGGTGCTCTAACCACTAAGCCAAACTGGCTAGGGCTGAGATAAGTGTTTTAAAATCTAAAATATAACACAAATGTGAGGTATTATAACCTATGACTTAAGAAATGATCTGTGAGGTCAGAGAAGCAAGACAAAGTCTCAAAGGAAACATATGATAGCTGGCTCAGATCATGAACACAAGTGAAGAAGACCTTCCTGGACCCTCAGCTCCAGCCTTTCTACGTGCTCTGCCTCTACCTTAAACAAGAGGCCCTACCCTTGCCCTAGCCAGTTTGGCTCAGTGGTTAGAGCGTCAGCCTTCAGACTGAAGGGTCCAGGGTTCAATTCTGGCCAAGGGCACATACCTCTGTTGTAGGCTCCATCATCAGCCCGGTTGGGACATATGCGGGAGGCAACCAATCGATGTCTCTTTCACACTGATGTTTCTCTCCTCTCTCTCTTTCTCTCTCTCTCTCTTCATTCCACTCTCTGAAAAGCAGTGGAAAAAATATCCTCAGATGAGGATAAAAAAATTAAAAAATAAAATAAAAAGAGGCCCCACCCATGGCCTTGGCCTGCTAACTTCCGGCTTAACAGAACCATGTCTGTAGATGGGCCTTTCCTGATGCATTAATGTGAATTCAATTCTGGTTTTCCTTTCATAGTTTCTTGTTCTTTTTCTTCATAGCACTTGACATATTTGTAATAATAAATAAAAATACTGCTAGACCAATTCCACTGCAAGGAATTTTCTTACAGATATAACTTGCAAGTGCAAACATGACATACAGGGTTATTAACTGCAGCACTGTTTAACAACAAAAAGCTGAATCATCCTAAATATTCATCAACAGAGGATCGATCAAATAAATTATGGTACATACATATGCTAGACTATAAAAAATGAGGAAGCTGTTAATATGCTGATAAAAAAATATAATACTACCCTAAAGTTTAAAAAAATCAAGGTGCAGAACAGAATGTATATTATGCCATAAAATCTGTAAAAAAAAAAGGAAAAAGAAATAGGACAATAAAAAATGAGTAAAGCCATCAGCTCCTCTTCCCAGACATATGGCTCTGGAAAGGAGTTGCAACAAGACACTAGCATGGGTAAGGCTCTGGAAACATTTTGTAGAATGGGAAACTTAAAGCATATTTGTGGGAAAAAGGGAATATGCCAGTAGAGGTGAATTAAGTGGAAGTGTTATTAAGATAAAGATGATGGGACAAAATCCTCCAGAAAGTGGGAAAGGGTAAGGAAGATCCTTTACAATGTAAGATACTTTTCCTTTCAGAGACAAGAGGAAAAAGATAGGAAAGGAAAAGATAAAGACAGGAGATAAGGAAGGAAATAGTGAAGCCAAGCTGGTTCTCAAATCCATGTTGCTCTCTGGCTCCTTCAAACCTCATCTTATTTTCTCGTCAGTAAAGTTTTTGGCTTTTTTTCTGAATGCCCAGAACTGTAATTTGAATCTCCATGCTCTTTTGTTTCTAAAGGCTTAGGATGTATTTTTCCAAAACCCTTTTTAAGGGTATCTTCACTGTACTAGGCACTAAGCATAACTGATGGTGACCAGGCTCTATCTTGTAGAAGCTGAGAATCCAGCAGGGAAGACAGGTGCCCAATGCCTGCCTGCTGCAAGGTTCCAAAGATGGGCTACTTCTAGTGTGCCAGCACTTAAAGACAGTGCTCTGCTTGGCCACTCTTCCTCTCCAACCCCTGAGCTTCCTGCAGGAACAAGTGCTTGACTATAATGCTACTGTACATACTTAGTCTTCAATCCTCTCCACTCTACAGGCCATGAGGAAGGCTGGAAAGCCAGCAGGGTGACACTCGATCCTCTGATTTTCCAGCTCCTGGCCCTTCTCTTGCCTGATTAACTCAGGGTACATAGAATTTCTCAGCGAACACAGCTCCCTGTCCTCACTTAGCTCAGTCCTGCTTGGGGTCTTCATGTCAGGGAGCTCCCTCAGTGAGGACCAGGTCCTCTGCCCTCCCAGGCTGGGAGAAGGGCTGTCTGTCCATCTGCAGGCAGTGTTGTGTCTCCTTGTGGACACTAGAGGGCAGAGCTGGCCCTCACTCGAAGTGAACACCTTACAGAGAGCACATTTTCAGAAAGGAGGCCACTGCTAGGAATATCTGTGCTTGAGTTTGCTTCTAACACACTTCCAGAGCCCCACTCCTGGAGCTGTATTTGTACACATGCCTTATCACAGTTTCAAGGGGAAACTGCAGTTTTAGAAACCTTCCCTCTCCATACTCCCTTTCAGAAATATAAAAATACAACCAGGTTTGTCAGAAGAAATACCCATCTGTCACCAAATCTCCCTACTTCATACCCAATAGTTCTTGATAAGGTCACACTCACAGAAACAACCTTGTGATCATGGTGTAGTACAAAGCAAATGGAATCTGCCACTTATCAGCCATTCAGTTTTGGCCAAGTCACTGATCAAGTTGAGCCAGTTTCCTCTCCTGCAAAATGGGGAATCTTTCATTCCTCCTGGAGATAATCCATGGATGTTCCTAGCAATGGCAAGAGCCTCAGAAATGCTGTTTGGCTCTGGATATGGCTGCAGACTCTGCTTTTTGAGACGGTCAGACACTGGACAAAAGTTTTACTACAGGTTCACCCAGGAATGGCTCCAGGGCTAATGCCTTCTTTCTCTCCTTTAAATTATTTAAAACCATCAATTGTGCTAGGAATGCATTTCTGAACAGACCAATTTATAACAACTTTGTATAGGCTGTTTCGTTTAGAGCTCCCATTCCCAAGAACACTTCCTTCTTGCTAACCTGAATATCCCTGTACCAATTTATATTCTTACCAACAGCACACGAAAGGGCCCATTTTCCCACACAATATTGGCAACTACCAGTCTTTAAAATTTTTGCTAATATAATGTGAAAAATGATTATTTTATCCTAATTTATGTCTTCCCTGATTAGTTAGGTTAAAGATATTTTCATATTTTTCCTGGGTATTATCTGCTTGTATCCTTTGTCCATTATTCTATTCTTTCTTATTTATAGGTGTTTTAAAAAACACATTATGGCTATTAGCATTTTATCTGTTTTCCATGTTGTAAGTATCTTCTCCCTGTTTCATGCCTTTAAGTTTTATTTAGGACATCTTTTATCATATAGAATGTGACCTGTGTAATTTTGATTTGTTAGAAGTTATGGAGATTTTGTTTCCCTCTATACGGTCAAGTTGTAAAATGGTTATATGTTTGAAAATACTATATATTCTGTCTTTTGGTTACAAAGTTCTACTTATATTTATTAGATCAAACTTGTTAAAAGTGTTACTCAAATGGCCGACTTCCTTCCTTAGTTGTCTATCTACTTTATCTATTAGTTTTGTGACAGTCTATTATGGTCTCCCTCTCTGTTGGTTTATTAGATTTTCATTGTCTAACAGTTTTTGCTTTATGAATTTCAAGGCTGCCTTGTCAGTTAAACTTCTTTTGTTAACTTTTATCACTATAAAAAATCTCTTCTTGTCCCATTCAAAAAATTAAAATAAAATAAAAACAAAAGCAAGTAGCCAGTTCACAGTATCACAGTGGGAAGGCTGTGGGCAGAGCGAGAGTTAGGAAGTCTGGGCCTGGAGTTGAGCTCTGCCATTCTGTGGGTTGCACTACTAGAGAAACTACTGAACTGCCTCATCTGGAAAATGCTAAATTGGAAGGGTTCCTTCCAGACCTGAAAACTCTAGGATCAGAGGACTTGAGGTAGGCTCCTACCTTGGGTAGGCTGTGGGTGGGCAGAATAACTTACCAAAGCTGTAACTTCCAGTTAGCATCCGACTGGCTGGCAATGAGGGTGTAGGAGGGAAAGGGCAGGTAGGTGGGGGAAGGGAGAAAAAGAGTATTACGTCACTGGCTTTCCTCAGACATCTGCTCTTTATAGTGCTCCAGCTGCCCTTCTGCATCCAAGGATGTCCAAAGGAAGAGGGGCAGTTCAAAGGCTCTGAAGACTCGATGCCTGGGCACTTAGGGAGAAGCCAAATGCTTTAAGGCAACCTTCAGACTCTTTTTCAAATGTATAACATAAACTACACAACATAGAGTTTACAGGCTTCTGCTCTAAGAGGGATGGGTGAGGACTTCTGGAGATTGCCTTGGACTTTGAGACAGCCCTTGCCCTTTAGGCATTTTGCAACACAGACCATCCTAGTACTCTAGAAGAAAGGTCATGTCCTTTTTCCATTTTTCTAGGACTCAGGTCTCCCATACTTCCCAGTCAAAAATCTTTTAGTGTATGACCTGCACAGCTCCTGCTGCAATTTTAGCCATTTTCTTTCCATGAAAAAAGAGAACAATAGAGCCCCCTCTTCCTCACAAGAATCTCATCAGACTCCTCTCAGCCTTTCCTGGAGCTTCTTCTCTTTGTCTCCTTTGCACAATTCTCTAGCTTGGTGCAGAAGTGAATGAAAGGTGATGTATGGATATGAACAATTGGATACAGTTGGAAGAGAGAAAGGAAATCGGTGAGGCAGAGTTTACCTGTGGCTGTTGTCTGGGCCTGAAATGGGGCTTGGCCAGCTAGAGGAATGCTTCCAAATGCAGAAGAGCTGGGGCTACTGCCAAAGGCATCGAAGTTGGCAAAGCCCCCATGGGAAGGTGTCTGGCCTATAGGTGAAGGGAATACAAAGATTATATAGATAAAATGTATATTAATCTATATAATATACACTAATTCTTAAGGCATTCAAAGGCCACTCAATGGGACATCTGCCTTTTCACAGGGTCCTCTTCAGAGGGAGATGGCAGGGGCCTTGGGCAGAGAGTTAGACACATGTGGGGGAAAGGAGATCTCAGAGGCCTCCAAGATCCCTCCCCACCACCTTTTTATCCTTACTCCATGAAGCATTAACATTTTTGTCAGAGAATAGTTTGGGCAGAGTCATGTGGGAAAAAATTTATTTTTTGGGGAGGAAAGGGGTTTGAAAAGAGAAGAGTGAAACTAGATACCACTTTATTCAACTCTATTATTGGCTATTGCTCTTCTCTGGGAAGAGGGGAGGGGAAATGGAACACATGATAATCTCCCTGCTCCCATTTTAATAGAGCGGGAAAGTAATAAAAATGATATTTCCAGTGTTCTAAAAGAACGTGTTAGGAGCTCCCAACTCCCAAACACAATCCCTGCCATACCCATTTGACTCCAACTCTCCCAGCCTTAATGCGTTAGAATTACCATCATGTCTGTTCGTGTGAAGATAATTAGGGCTGAGTAAAACCTGGTCACCCCCCGAGGGAGAGAGTTTTTGGTGTTAAGGGTACATATGTTATAGGAAGGTTCTTATCCCAAGTCCCACTTACCCCCAAAGGCTGGGAATGCAGCAAATGATGATACTGCCTGGGGAGCAGCAAAAGGGTCTCCACCGATGTCAGCCAGCAGGTCAGTACTGGCTTTCTTGACCGAGGAGTGAGGAGGTGGCTGAGCACTCCGGGGCTGAGACACCCGAGCCTGAGACTGACTGACAGACTTGAAGGAGAAAATATTACATATAGCACTTGGAATCCCAGACATACCCAGCAGCTGCAGGGCTCCCCAGGCTGCCCCCAGATAGGCAAGTGGAAAGAGAAGAGAAGAAGAAACTTCCCTCAACTGAGAGGATTCCTGGGCAGAAGTTGCCTTAGCCTCTCTCATACCTAATTCCTCTGTCTTCTCAGTACACCAGCTCCCAGAACCACACATTTTAGAACATATTAGTCAAGGTAATGCTGAGATATACAGGGATGTTGCCCAACAGTCCCCCTGGAGCTGTTACCTCCTTATCTTTCCCAGGTGCTTGAAGCAGAGTCCCGGCCCCTTCTGTGTTTCCTTGGAGGAATGGTCAGGTTTGGAGTTCATACTCTGACTTCCCTAAATACCACTTCCTGCTGGGTTCTTTCTTCCAAAAGATACGAGTCCAAGGTGATAGATGCAAGACATAGGTAACAGCAGGGCTGAGAACCAACTCACAGCTCTGAACTGTTGTCTGCTAAGTTCAGGAGACTTGATTTAGGAAACTGACACTCCTGTCCCCCAAATCCCAAAATAATCTTGAAGGACAGATTTGAGAGTTACCTGGCTAGAGGTGGAGGCAGCAACTGAGAGAGATGGCACAGGCTTCCCTTCTGGGATGGAGCCCTGGATAGGGGTGGAGGCACTGCCTTTGGTATAAGTGGGCCCCTTGACCTGATCCGGAGGGACATACCTTCGAGAAAGAATAGTTAGGTTGAAAGGACAGGGATAAAACCTTGGACCATGCACAGCTTAGGTGCTTGGGAAAACACAGGTTACAGCAGTCAAAATCCTTTCTCATTTTTTCCTATTAATTCTCTTTTTTGAACTAAAGGGAATTTAGCAACATAGCAAAATTCTGTCTATCTTGAGATTCCCCTTTACTGTCATGTGCTCATTTTTTTCTGCAAGAATGTTCAGTTTGCTCTGGCTTGTGCCAGTTATTCCCTCCTCTTTCTGATATGTCAAACCATCCGGGTTTCAAGTATAACACCTGCAATAATGCTGATGAACAGGCAATCCCATTTTCCAACTTCCTCCTTTTATTTCCTGGGTGTTTTCTTCATATTCTCAGTTCCATAGAAAAACTTTCTGCCACCTCATCTTCTAAGAGCTCACAATCTCTCCTCCCAGTTCCTGCTACTTTTGATAAAATTCCTCCCACTATAGTGTCTCTACTCTGGAAGAATCTTCTTTCTCCTGAGGACACCCCTAGGAGGGAATCCAAAATGCTGCTTTATCCACATCAATCTCCTTATTCTCTGCATTCTCTTCTCCACCCTATAGTTACTCCCAAAATGCACACACCCCAGAAATCAAACAATAAGTGACACCTGGGGAGATAAAAGGCTAGGGAAAATAGAGATGTTGTTTTCCTCTTCCAGAAAACAGCATACATACAAATTATGAATGAAATGATGGCTAAAAGCATAAAATTATATAGGACATGTGCTTCCAGCCACCTCTCTCCATATATGAGATCAGCTGAGCTACAAAAACTAACCTCCACTCCCACAGGCCTACTTCCCCCCTCCAATCAGTTTATCATCTCCCCAAAAGAGGGGACACGAAAGCTGCAAGGTTAGTGACTGAGAACAAGTTGTCTTTCCATGTAACTTTATTATCTTGAAGGCAGAATTTAGCCCTAACTGAATCTGAGGTGAAACAGATTCAACCCAAGTCTAGCTTTTGAGAGAAGCCCCAATTCAACTCTCAGATGAAGTATGTATTGAACACATGTCTCCATATCAATCTCTTTCTTCCTCCTTACCATCTCTTCTTCTCATATTTTTCCTGGAGAAACTCCTTCACTTTCTGAGGATCTCTGGAATCTGGTATTAAAGATGTCCGAGCATCAAAAAGACCCAGCCAAATCTTCCTGCAAACCTAAAGGAATGGAGTTAGGTGACAGAGGATTTGGGGCAGAAAATATGAAATGGGAATGATGCCACTTCTAGTTTATTCATCAATAAATATTTATTGAGCATGGACTGTGTGAAAACCTGGATATACCTACAAAACAGACAAGATCCCTGTCCTCACAGAGCTGTTATCTAATGGGGAAGTCAAGCCTTATTTTTATTTATTTATTTGTTTATTTATTTATTTTTAATCCTTACTGGAGAATCTTTTTTCCATTGCTTTTCAGAGAGAGTGGAAGGGGGAGAGAGAGAGAAACATCGATGTGAGAGAGACACATCAATTGGTTGCCTCCTGTATGTTCCCCAACTGGTGGGGCTGGTGATCAAACCTGCAACTGAGATATGTGCCCTTGGCCAGACTCAAACCAGGACCCTTCAGTCTGCAGGCGGACACTCTAACTACTGGGCCAAACTAACCAGGGCTAGGGGAGGTCATGCTTTAAATAAATAAAAATAAACTTATAAATATATACTGTGACACATAAAAGAAATTAGAGGTCTGTGAGAATTATGGGGAACTAAATTTGGATGGGGATGGGGTCAGGAACAATTTTCAGAGTTGTGGCTTCCAGAACATCCTCTAGAGGCCCTTGTTTGCACCTTCCAAGTAAGTCAATCACTCATAAGCTAGGCACACTGCTAACACCAAGAATGGCATCTTCCTATCAGCAGCTTTAGCTAAGGAAGGGGTTTAACTCACTTTCAAGTAAATGGCATGGCCTTAAACCTGGGTTGCTGAGGCTCAGGTCAGCTCCAGGAGATCTTAATCAGAGGGGTAGGCCCAGTCAACTCTAAAAGCTCATCAAGGTGGAGCTCTAACCATTTTCCCTCTCAAGTGAGCAGGGACAACCCTTTGCAGAGATTTTGCTCCTTTCCCTGATTCCTCCAACAAGGGGCCTAGACAAACCACAATTTTTATAACTAAGATTCTGCAAATATACAAATATACATAAGACAAGATGTCTTACATACTAAAAAATAAGAGAAGCTTGATTAGAAAGAAAACTGTAGGGTTTTTCTATAATCTTGAGACAAAGCTCCCGAGCAAGTAAGGCAACTACATACAGCCTGTAACCCTCCATCAGCAGTAGCTTACCTCGTTTCCTCGGGATTGCAGGAATACTACTTCAGCCTCAGTGAAAGTTGTCATGGAGATGGACTTGACTCGATGAGGGGGGTTCAGGCCTCTCCTGTGGGAGAGAAATAGAAAGAAAGAGAAATATAATGCAGTTAGTGCTGCAGGTCTGTTTATGGGAGGGGAGGAAGTGAGAAAGGGTAAAACAATGCGTAAATTAAGCTTAAGTAGAACTCCCTGGCCTGAAGCTACTTCCTAATTCAAGGAAAGAAAGGAAGCAAGAATGTTTTGAAGGCTTCTGATAAAAGACAGTAATGACAGAGTGAGGACATATTGTGATTCCAGTCATTCTGCCCCTCCAGAAACCTTCTCTACCTTGGCTCAGACCCCAACAGTTCAGTGTTCAGATGAAGGGGCACATCTGGGAACTCAGATGTGCAACCACTTCCCATTTCCTCTTTTATCATTGCATTGGACCTATAGACATCTTCAAGGTCCCAGAGTCCATGAGACATAAATTCTTCAAGAACAAGGGAGGACAAACATGAAGGTGCCTGACAATTCCTGATAACACCAACAAGGATAAGATTTGGAGACAAACACCAGAGTCCTAGCCTAGCTGCCCCTCCTCGTGTCTACACAGAAGACTGGCATGGTGGTAGGAATGGAGAGTCCCTCTCTTTCAGGAAGAGACCTCTGGGAAAAGAAATATTCTGGACTTTCTCATTTCTAGATCTTTCAATGAAGCAGGAGGAAGTCAGGTTCAACAATGAGACATGAGATTGGTGTGAGTCAGGAACATATATCCATGGGGGTGCTTTTGTGCCAGCTCTGTGTTAATTCCTTGGGAGTCCAGTTCTGCCCATGGAAGCCCTATGGAGATTATAGCAGAGAATAAGGTTTTCTTGACCTCCCCCCTCAACTGCCCTCCAGTGTTCTAACAGGAAACTTGGGGCTAAGCCAAGCAGGGTTTCACAGGTTCCCCTTCCTTATACCTTAAGCTTGACTCTGGTCTAGATCTACTGCCCTCATCAGATTAAAACAAAACTGGTTGAACCAAAACAAATAAACAAAACCCTGGGACCAGGAATGAAAAGACCACAAGCACAGTCAGGAAAGACAGTCCAAATGATGAGGCCTCTTCAAACTTTTATTCCCTTGTCAAAAATGGGTGAATCAAGATGTGAAAATAAAAGTACTATAAGTCTAGAATAGGGTCCTGGTTGATGCCCACAGGAAAGCAAAGGGAGAAAGAAGAGATAACAAAATTTACAAAATGGAAGTCCTAGACAAAGGTGGGAAAACACACATTCATGCTTACAGGTGCACACACAGAATAAAGGTGCTCCTACCAAGTCTGGAAGAACAGTAGTGTTTGGGTTAGTGTAAGTGAAGACAGTGTGGGTAGGGAGGGAGAACAGATGGCATAGTACAGTGTGAACAGTGAAGGCAGGCCCCTTTTGGATGATAAATTACTGATTATGGATTCTAACAAAGGACAAGACACTAGAGGCTACAATTGAAGATACTTTCAGTAATTATGCTGCTAGATTTTTCAGTAAAGGGTCTCAACATACCCCTTTAAAAAAACAAGCAATATCAATGAGGACTGATGCCCCTAGTAAAAAGCAGGGAGAACCAAAAGCCAGGCTTTGTTACTACATGTCAAACAATAGCTCTTAAACTTGATCTGCCCTGAAGACTCTCTTCTGATCACATTTCAGAGATATTCCAGTTTTCTCTCCTAAAGCCTCTCTTACTAATGGTTTTGTTTTGAAGTCCAGATAGCGTACTTCTACATGCCTTCCCTTGCCCTTTTTCACCTTAATAACTAGGCCTTTTCCCCTCAGAACGCCAGACCTCTTTGAGGTCTAGCCAGAGCAGACCTCTCTGTCCCTATGACCCTGATCCTCTTCTTCACCTCCCACTAACAAATATTTACTTTGCCAAAACACAAGGCACTGTGGTAGGCACTTTGGAATTTACAAAAATTATAGAACCCAGTTCTCAATCACTGGACTGCTGGCTAATAAAGGACCCAAGAAACCTGGACAAGAGTACTTCTCAATGCGGTAGGGTGTAATTTAGGCACACAGCTGGATCAGGGAGAATTAGCACCCTGATGCAGCAGTGGGGGAAGGAAGAGAAATGGTCAGGGGAAAAGTAAAAATGTATTATGTTTACACTAGAAAAACAGATTCTAAGCCTATCACACAAAGGTCATTGACTTTTCCGGAAAGGAGAACCAGGAACTGTTAGCAAAGTATAAACAGGGAGGTGTGCTTCCTTGTGGGGGGAGGGGAAGGGACTTGACCAATGCATCAATCTAGAGGAGATACTTAGAACAACAGAACTTTCTATGGCTAAGCTTCAACTGAAGAGTTTTTTTGAGAGGGAGGTGGGATGATACAGGACGAAGGGAAGACAGAGAAACTTAAGTGATTTAGGTGTGTTGGGCCAAATGAATCTGATGGAACAGGATGTTTCCATAGCACAGTACAAAAACCACTGCTTTGACCTCGATGTCTGCAGACTGGATTCTATAACCAGAGCCACAGTTTGGGGGCAGAGAGAGTTCTCTACAAGGCAACACAATAATCTGCAGCCCAGAAGAGGGACTAGTTACATGGCCTATGAGTCAGAGAATTTGTTTCTGAATCATAGAGGACATTGCTGGCTGAGAGAAGCAATTTAGAAACAAGAGCCCCTCCCCTCCCAGTAGATGACATCAAGTTGTCTAGGAGTATTGCTTTCTCTTGGGTACATACCAGGGTCATACAATGGGCCAGATATGAGTCACTGGCCTGGAATTAAATAGACCCAATTCTCCAACTTGTACGTAGTCTCCCCAAATTAACTCTCAGGTTCTCCCCAAAAGAAGTGAGAACTAGAAGGAGGTGCTGCCCTTCAGTTATTACAGCAAATCCATTCTGTTTTTCTAGCCAGGAGGTGCTGGGGGAAATATAGAGACACATTTATTTGCCCAGAATAGTGCAAGTTGTTCCAACTGAAAGCAAGTACATTATTAGGATGCATGCCTTCAGCCTAGTCATAAAATCTTTTTTCCACTTCAGTTTCCTTTTCACAAAAATGCACCTAAGTGACATTTGAAGTACTCTGAATCAATCTTTAAAGTACTCTGCGTTACTTGGCAAGTGAACCAACTTGCAGAGATACTAAAATCTGCCCAATTCTCCCTCTCTTAGTCTTTCTCTCCCCTCCCTCTATTAAGCACCCTACTATTTCTACAAATACCACAACTTTTGTTTCTCTGTGGTCATCACCCTCAAACTGGCCCATATTTTGCTTCTAGCTTGCTTCATAAAAGCCTCAAACCTGCTCAGCTGCTCAGATAAGAAGGTTCTGCCAGGTCAACAATGGAAAAAAACAGTTCCACCCAGCACCCGAGTTCTTTCATTTGTGCCAAATCTGAACTTGGGAATTCTTTACCTCTGAATATTTGTGTTCAAATTTGTACACCCAAGTTTGTATTTCTTTCCTCCAGGAGATCCCACTCCTCTGCCTAAGCAGGGTTTAGCTAACCAGTTCAGTCCTTATCTTGAACCCAAACATCACCAAGAAGAGTCCCTATTAGAGACCCCTAATAGTCCCTAACAGGAAGGCTCCTCTATTACCCTGCTCCAGGGTCAATTTCACTAATTTTAGGAAACTTCTTCCTATCTAAATTCCCCTGCTTCAAGCCATTTCCTGTTGTTGTTCCTCAGTGACAATGATAAACAGCTGTCCTCTCTTGTAGAGTCACTAGAATCCTGATATTATCAGCTGCCTTCCTCTTCAGGCTCAATGCCAATCCTTTCACATTTTTTTCCTTTCTTCTCATCCCTTTGGTAATTTATTATTTTCTTAGGGACTTTTCAAGTTGTCCTAGGGGCCCCTATGATAAAGTGCTTAAGTCTGTAATTTAGTGAAACTCTGTTCACCTCAGCCCAGCAGACAAATGAAAGGTGAGGTGGGGAGGGGATGGAGGAATGGGACTAAAATAAGGGCAAGGTACATGTCTATCTCTCCAACCCAGACAGATGGAAAAGTAGTGAATTATTACCATACACCTTTCTCTTCATGGAGATAAAAAGTGCTTCAACTAGAAGCCACCACTAGCAAGCCAGACAGGGAAACTAAAGGACAAGGAGGGTAGGAATCTGTCATAAATAAAGAGCTATCAAGCACATCTCTTGACACCCAGCCCAGAGGTCTGTCTACTTTAATCCTGACTTAATCCCATCATTAGGATAAAGTTGTGCAGAAGTAGAAGAGACAAGTATCCACTACTGAGACTTGAAGGACATGGCTTAAAGGATGGATGAAAACAGGTCAGTGAAGAATGTCACATACTTTGCTGGAAAAATTGGGTATCAGAGGTAATGCCCATCCCTGATTCAATGAGGTTTCATGCCTCAACATTTTTTTTTTTTTTTTTTTTTTACAGAAAAGTGGTTTATTCATTGAGGCATGCAAGCAAACCAGAATAAGAAAGAACATCTAAGGTTCTGCTGGAAATATTTTTTAGCAATTTTTACCCCAACCTAGCTTCTAATGGCAGATTCATCCTCTAGTAGACATTAGAAATATAAATAAACCAGCACATGTATACATACAGAGTGGGGCAAAAGTAGGTTTAGAGTTGTAAGTATGCGAAACACAGTTTCTTCTTGTATTACTATTTAATAATTATTGTATTATTTTCCATATGAACATGGGCAAATTAAAAGGATTTATATCAGGTTAAGGAAATTAGGTATTGGAAGAAACCCAAATGAATAAAAACTAGGTCAAATTTTGGACCTACAATTGTGGTAGCATGTATGTAAATTTAGAAACAGCAGAAACTAATAGTCTCTCTCTCTTAAGCCCTCAAACCAACACTGTGGGTTTTTGTTACAGCTGAGAAAGTATTTCTCATTAAAAAAGAGATGGTGAGAATGAGCTTACATGTGCAGAGATGAAGGCATAGTCATCACCCACCCACCCACCAATATTAAAATCTGAATTTTTCTTCAGATCTTGGGCAATTCAACTTTGGCTGGAACAGTCAACTTTGCTACATCAGCCAATCCAGCCAGCTGGGAACTCTGGTTATTCTTCTCACTGCCCCCAGAACACTCTATCCCTCTAAGAGGTAGACATATTTGCAACACACTCAACAGAAAGCTGGCTTTTGAAATACAAAGCCAATTCTGTCTCCTTTCTCTGGCAATGGTGCTAAGTATGGTACTCCAATTTTCTCCCCTCAATAAATATCCTCTTCATTTTAACAAAGAATAGTTCTTCTCTTTTTATCAGCATACCTCAATATGAGTTGCCATCACTCTCTGACCCATGCTGAGCTCTATTTTACTTCATAACATGTATCACTACCTGCAATTATATATTTAATGATTTATTTACAGTCCATGGCCTCTACTAGGATGTAAGCTAAATGAATATGGGTACTTTGTCAATTTTGTTTATTTCCATATTTCCGACACCTAAAACAGTGCCTAGGACTTGATACTCAGTAAGTATTTGTTGACTGACTGAATAATGAATAAATGAATGTACAGGCTTTTGACCTACTACAATTTTCACTTCCCAGCACCACAAAATCCTAACCTATGGGCAATCAGTCATGTGGATTTATGATGTTAACTTGTGCATGTGTCCCTGTGGAGCCATGCCTCTCCATTGCCTGCTGGACCGTGTGTGCTCCCTCCTCACTCTGTAGCCTGCAATAAGTATGTCCCACCTCACACACTCTGCCTCTGGCCCACTTGCCAGTTCCCAGCCCTTCCCACCTCAGAGGACACAGCTAGTAGTTTGTTAAGACCCCTTTAAAAGCTTTATATGCCCTGCTCTAGTCCAGGCTAATTAGAATTCCAATTAGCAAATGAGAAGTACTACCAGAACTCAGGCTGACAGTCACAGTCAAGGAAATTGAAACTTTCTTATAGATTTCATCTGATACTTCTCTCCTTATAATCTCAACATGCCTTCAGTTTAGCTTTATTTACTGGCCCAGCCTCTTCTTGATCATTCACTTTACTCTGACTTCCTGCTAACATAGGGTTGGCCTAGCTTCTCATTTCCCAACCACCAAAATGTGTTCCCTAAAGTCTACCACTTCAAGAATCACTTGGAGTGATTCTTATAATGCGTTACCAAAATACTAACCAAAAATATCCTTTCTAGAATTTTTTAAAACTGAAAAAAAGGGGGACTAGTCAATTCCTATCACTTGTTCCCATTGGAACTTAAGTTCCTAAAAAGCTAAGCCCTAGTTTGAGGTACATACACCTCAGACAGAGCCAGGCCTCTTGGGGTACTTTTCTATTCATCTATCCTTAGGCCATGCTCACCTCCACCCAGTGTCTCTCCAGATCACAGGCATTTGACTTTTCATTAATGGGATCAACAATAATGACCACAAGAGAAAGTGATGAAGTTTTGCAAACTGTGAACTGATGTTTAAGGAGTTAACTTTCCCAGCAAAAGAAACCAGGTTTTTAATGTGTCCCAGATCTCTTGCCCCTCCTTCTGTCCTGATTGAAGGATATTCATTATAGAAGGGAAATGTTATCTGTGGGATACTTTAAACCAAGATCTATAAAATAATGATGATGATGTCAGCATTTTCAGCGTTTTATCTTTCATTCCATCACAGCTAACCATGGGAATGAATTAACACTGTTTCTTCCTAGGACCAGACTCTGATATATCATCAGTTTTAACCCCCTGCTTCCCTTTACTTTTTTCCAGACTCTATAATCAGATTTTCCTTTTCATAGCAAGATCTTCAGGAATCTGCTCTCTCTTTCTACTTTATGCTACAAATATTCCTAAACTTTGCTCCTTCTCTCCTTAGAGTATTTGTCCCAGTCTCAAGTTTCTAACCTTTTGCTTCATTTGTGTCTCTATCACAACTTTTCACACATTTCTGTTTGGGTTCTAAATCATTGTCCCAAGAGCCATAGTGGCTTTTACTTAGACCAAAGTCAAGTCCATTCTCACAACACCCAAGTGAGGTTGATCAGAACATAGAAGTTTGGCAAAGGAGGTAAAAACTGCGTAGAGAAATAATCCTAAACTGTATCTTAGAAGACCTAGATCCTCATTTCTGTTCTGCCATGATCATAACTAATATCAAACAACAAATGCTGAAAACAGCAAGCCCCATAGGGCATTGGATAGGTTACTAAAACTCTCTTTGCTTCTGTTCTTCCATCTGTCAAGCAAGAACAATACTGCTCCCTCCTTGGCTCCTAAAGGTGTAAGAAGAAACAAGGAAAGTGCTCCTTGTTAAAAATGAAACCAACAACCAAACCAATGTATTAAAACATACTAAAAAATGGTCAAAATAAACCCCTTGATAGACTTATAAAAATAGAGACACAGGCTTGGTATCAAATGTTAATCATGAAAAAAAACAAAAGTTAATCATGCATCTAACCAAATAATTCCCTAAGGGGGAAAAAGAAACTTACCATATAACCAGAAATCTGGGCTAGAACTGTGGTTCTAAATTAGCTCAGGCATGGCCAAATACAGTGCCAGTGCCAAGTGTAGTGAATCAGATTATACAACAATCTGCCTCTCCCCCCAAATCTAGAAAGAGTTGCTAGATGTTACTATTAGGATCAAGCCATGGCAACAAGGAGCTTAAAGATGTAAATTATTACACTTAAGGATGGCTCATCCAGATCTACAAACCTTTGGAAAAGTTAAGCTCTCTAACAGGGCAACCCATCAGCTCTCATCATCTCTTAGATTTGTTAAGATATCTGCTTCTGGATAGCATTTCGAAGCCCTGCAAGATTAGCATCTGCACCTGAACACTGGAACCTGGCTCCTTACCTGCCACTATCTCTGTGCTCTCAACTTGGGCTACTTTGCCTATTTTAGCTTGGCTTCTCCATCTCATACTCCAGGATGGCCACAAGCCAGAGGAAGAAAGGGGTACTCCTTCATCTTAAGCCCAATTTGCCCTACCTCTTTCCTTCTTGCCCTCCATCTATATGAAGTTCCCTTTTAAGGTCTGTCATTCTCTGGCTTTTTAAATCTGTAACCCCTCCCCCCAGTTCCCTTCAATTATCCCCACTTTCGGTTCTCCTTGCCTCCCTTAGGGAGTTTCTCCATTTCTCTCCGGTGTCCTTCCTTTTCCCCTGCAACGCGACTCCAATTGTGTCTTGCCTCCGCTACCCCTTTCCTTCCCCCATGACACCTCTGCAACGGAGGACTCTCTCACCACATCCGGCGCGTCCCCAGGCCTCCCCGCCCTCCCTCATCCCTTCGCCCCGGGTCTCCCCTGGCCCCTAAGCCGACTCTCTGCCACTCCTCCCCCCGCGCCGGTCCACTCACAGGAGGCCGGAGCAGGTGGTGCAGACGAAACTGCCCACGGTGATATCCACGTAGGTGACCCCACGCTGGGCACACTCGAAGCAGTGGCGGTTCCCGGCCTGGCTGCAGCCACCCAGCTCCCGCACCCGGCGACACCACACCTCCGAAGCCGCCTCGGCCTCCGCCTTTCCCCCGCCGACCCCGCCACCCGGCCCTGGGCCCTTCTTCGCTGCCATCACCATGGCTGCCCACTCCCTCGGGCTTCCTCACGGCAAATCAGCAGTCGCCCCTTCCCCTTCAAGCACTACCGCCTTCCCGCCTCCGCACGCCGCACTGCCCTGACAGGAGCTAGGGAGCCCACAGCATCCGCGCGAGACTCCTCCACCCCAAGCCTCGCCTACCCTGCACACTGCTTGGCCAGCCTCCTCCCACCTCCTCACTCTGATTGGCCCGACATTAGGCGGCCTCTAGTTGCGGTAGCCGGCTACACCCCGCTGCCTTCAGACCTCAGGCCTCTACGATTGGCCCGCAGAGATCCTGGCCGCGAAGTCTGTGCGTGCCCTCTCCTTGTCCCCGCCCCCTCTCACCACGGCCTCCACGGCGGCCCGCCTCCCAGAACTCGATTGGTGAATTCTCGGAACTCGGGCCCTGACACCACCTCTGATTGGCTGTCGAGGTAACAAAGTTAGCTCGCAGGAAAGAGTATATGTGGTGCATGCGCAGTTCTGCCACACCGCTGATGACATTAATTCCCGCCAAATTTCAAAGGCCTAGTTTTAGGTAGACTGTGCAGAGAGGCACGCAAAGCAGAACAGAAGTGGCCATAAGAAGGCCGAGGGGAAAGGGAAAGAGGGAGTTCTCAGAGAAGGGAGGGAAAAGGAGAGGGAGTGCTTTATAAATGCTATTTTATTTATTCCTACCCTATGCCATAGGAAATCTCATTTTACAGAGTCCTAGGTTATACAATTTGCAGTCCACATAACTGGTACGTGGCCCAGCCAGGATTCTGATCTGGCTCATCTTACTTTAGAAAGTCTGCTTTTGATCACCACATTATCCATGGAATAGTATTTGACCATTCATTTGACTATTAAGTTTCAGGGACTGTTCTGGACAACCAATCAAAATTCCTATCCTCATGGAGCTTACATTCTAGCGGGGAAGAAAAGTTAAAGAATCATCAGTGATAAGTTCTATGCAGAGAATTAAAATAAACTACTGTAAAAGAGTGTGACTTAATAAAGTACTGTAAAAGAATTGTTCAGTGGAACTATTTCTAATGCAGTGATATTGAAGCTGAGACCCGATTAACAAAAAGGAATCTGCCATGAGGAGATCTGAGGAGGAGCAAGCCAGGCAGAGGGAAGTATAAAGGCCCTAAAGCATGAAGAAGTTTTGTGTGTTAACCCAGCAAAAAAGAAAGGCAGAGTGGCTGAAGCATGGTGAAATGAGGGAAAAGTGGAGGGATTATACTGGAGTGGAACCAGATTATGCAGAACCTTCCAGACTTTGGTAAGGAGCATGGATTTTCTTCTAAGTGTGATGGGAAGCTGGCTGTATTCATTAGAATTAGGTCCCGCTGTGACAGAAAACCCCGAATAGTTCGAGCTTAAGCCAGATGAAGTTTATTTCTCTCTCATGTGCAAGTCTATGTAAGCATTCCAGGGCTAGTGGGCTGCTCCACTGTGTCAGAGACCCAGGCTCCTTCTATCTTGTTGCTCCATAATGCATTACCTCTACTCCCAAGTTTACCTCATGCTCTATCCTAGCTTCAGCTATCACATCTGTTACAGCAGCAGGAAGATCCTGCTCTTTTTAAGGACATGCCATGAAACTGTACACAACCACATTGGTCAGAACTCAGTCACATGAACACACCTAAGTGCAAAGAGGGACTCTGAAAAATGTATTCTTTATTTTGGGCCTCCATGTGCTCACCTAAACTTTAGAAGTTCTCTTACTGAGTTTGAAGAAGAGAAAGGATATTAGGATAAAGCCACAGTCTTGGTCACAGAAACCACTGGAAGGATTGTAGCAGGGGAAAGATGTGATCTGATTTTCAGTTTTGAAAAAAATAATTCTGTCCACTATAGGGGAAATGGTTATAGGTAAGTAAGATTGGAACTAGGACAATTAGAAAGTGATTTCAGCAGTACAAGTGAAAGGTAATGGTACATAGACCATGATGACAGGAGTGGGATGGAGAGAAATGGATTGATTCAGGGAATGTGTTGGATGCAAGATCCATAGACCTTGTTAATGGACTATATGTAGGCGGTGAGGGAAAGAGGAATCGATGACACCTCTTTAGAGAAGTGCCATCCAATAAAACTCTCTGTGATGGTGGAAATGTTCCATATCTGTCTAATAATGGTAGCAACTAGCCACATGTAGCTATTGAGCACTTGAAATGAGGCTAGTAAAACTGAGACCCTGAAATTTTAATTTTACTTAATGTTAAATTAAATTTAAATTTAAATAGCCACATGTGGTTAGTTGTGGCCATGTTGGACAGGGAAGCTCTAGATTTTTGTTTTGAGCAACTGGGCAGCTTATGGTGTCACTTATTGGAAAAAGGGGGTACTGTAGCAGGATCAGGTTAGAGAATGCTGATAGCCAAAAGTTCGTAGTTTTGCTTTGGACATGTTGATTGGAGACCCTTGAGAGGCCTCCAAAGAGTTGATCAAATAGGCAGGTAGATATATAGTCTGGATTTGCAGGAGTTTTAGTAGCCATCAGTATAGAGAAGTTATTTAAAACCATGGGACTGGATGAGTTTGCTTAGGTACAGCATGTAGACTGAGAAGAGGGCCCAGACCTAACTAAGCTCTGGGCACCCCAATGTGTACTTTGTTCCGTTTCTCCAGTTATCAAAGCCACAAATGCACTTTAAGTCCTTAAAAGGAGGCAACACCAAGTCACATCCAGATATGCAGATGTGACATCTCATATCACTTTAAACATTCCTTCTAAATTTCCAAGTTCAGTTACCAAGTGCTGCACATTCCTCCTATGGTTTCTCATTGGCAAAGGTTATTTCTTATCATCTTGAAACCTTGGAAAAATTGGTTCTTAGCTACCACCAAACCCTGATGTATACAATGGTGAGGGAAGAAAATTAGAATACCAATATGGATTGTGATAGCTTTCTGTTAATTTGTACCACTGGGTGTGGTGTGGTGGTGCAAGGAGGCACCCACTTCTATCTCTCCCAGGCCCTATCGGAAGTAACAACCCTTCATAATCAGGCAGAGCACACTAGCACAGGAGCATCCTTTTCTGCCATTGCCCTCGTGGCAGGAGGAATCCCAAATGGAGAGGTAGAACCCTTATTGGGTTCCCTGCTGAAAACACCTCATCCTTAGGGGATGGAAAGCAAACATATTTAGAGAGAAAAGTAATAGTGAGAGCTGCCACCCTCCTCCGCCCACCCAGCTCTTGGTTTCTGGACCTCTATATTGGCTGAGGGAGAAATGACACTACATTTCAGTCGCTGTTTGAGATCACATATCACTTTCTGCAAGAAAGCATCTTAGCTTCACAGGTGCAGTCCCCTGGATACTGCTAGATCTGTTTTCAGAACAACATTTCATTGTTCTATAAGGCCAGCTGCTTTTGGTGGATGGGAAATATGATAATGGCCCATGGCTTGCCAACTGTCTTATTTCTTTCACAGGGAAGTGAGTTTCTTGGTTGGAGACAATTTTGTCTGGATCACCCTGTGTTATACAAAGTCAGTAATTCCAGGGATGGCGAAATAGTCAGGCATGACCTGCTGGGAAAGAAAACCCAAATACAGAATAAACCATTTTTTCCCAGAGCTTATAAATCACCACACCCTCTATGAGAGAAGGAATCTGATAGAGTTGAACCTGCCACTAGATTCCCGGCAGGTTCCCAAGAAGCTGGGTGCTCTATTACAGCCTCAGGACTGTACCAGTCTCCTAGTGAGTTCACTGACTGTTTATAATACTTTTTTTTAGCTGCTTATCTTCCTTTTTCCAGGTGGAGATCATGTTATCTTCAAATAATGACAGTTTTAACTTCTTTTTATTTTTTTCTATCTCTAATTACTTTCTCTTGTCTAAGTAAGTTATTAAATATCTAGAAATAGTTAATTAATAGTGGATATCTTTTCTTATTCTATAAGGAGAGAAATATCTGAAGAAACTCTTCAGGAAAGCTGAAATAGTTTCAGCTTTCCCTGACTGTGACTGTTTGCCTGGGTTCTAGTGGTACTTCTCATTTGCTACTTAGAATTCTAATTAGCATGGACTAGAGCAAGTCATATAAAGCTGTTAAAGGAATCTTAACAAAATATTACCTGTGTCCTTTGATGTACTATGGGAAGGGCTGGGAGCTGGCAGGTGGGCCATAGGTAGAACGTGTGAGGGGGGGCATACTTATTGCAGGCTGCAGAGTGACAAGGAAGCACACACAGTCCAGCAGGCAGCAGACAGACATGGCTCCACAGGGACACACACACCAGTTAACATCTTAAATTAAAGATCTTAATATCCCTTCCTTTAATGAAAGTATATCTTTATTTTCCCATAAATCTTGATGTTGACTATTGGGTTAACAAATATATTTTATTATATTAAAGAAGCATCCATTTATTCCATTTTATTTATCAGTTCTCTTGTGTTTTTTGTTTTGTTTCATAACTTAATTTCTGATTGTATCCATTTATTTCTTCTGTTTCTATTAGGTTTATTTTGTTATTCTTTTTCTAATTTCTTGAGTTGGATGCTTCTTTTAATTTTTATTAAGTAAGGCCAAAAACATTTTATATGAACATTATTTGAGTTATAGCTCATAGATTCTGACATGTTATGGTGTTTATTATTATTTTCTAAATATTCTGCATTGTGATTTCTTTTTTTTTATTGGCTCAAGAGTTTCTTTTAAAAGAGAACAATAAAAATTGCCAGGTGATAGGGACATTTTTCCTTAGTTTTAATGTTCATATCTAGTTGTATTGCATAGTGATCAGATAATGATAGATATATATTATTTCTGTTTTTTCTAACTTAATGAGGTTTTCTTTGTAGCCTAATATGTAGCCAACTTTTGTGAAGCTTTTCTGGGTGCCTGAAACTAAGGCATGTTTGATAATATTAGATCTACCTTATTGATTACATTACTGAAATAATCCAACTTCTTACTTACTTACAGAGTTTCACAATATAAAGTCCTTCTTTCACCTTGCTACCCCAGAGAGAGAGACTTCATTATGCAG